AACGCCCCTATCAACACATTAGCATATTTAGGTAAATTTAACATTTGTCTCCAACAGCACTCAGCTAAAGAGATTATTTACCTTGAAAACTCCACAAAACGATTCAGTTCCAAGAATGCCCACTGCTTTGCGTGTGTGTGGGGGGTGGGGTGGATAAGAATTTATGGAGTTGTAACTTTCACAAAATAGCACCTTGATACGGATACCAGGTGCCTCTATAAACAGATTGAGGTATTAAGTGTCCGGTGGTGGTTACGCCCCTGTCTCTTCCTCTCCTTCGTTGTGGTGCTTTGACCTCTGCCATTTCTTGTCTCCTCCGGTTAAACCTTTCCCCAGAAAATTTCTACAAGATAAAGCGTAACTAATAAGCATAGCATTAAAATGTTTATACATAACTGGTAAAATCTGTGAACAAGACAATGTCTAATTAGCATTAAAGAGATTACATATTGTATAAATATAGTATCGTCTTTATGTTTTTAATTCAATTTGTACAATCATTTCCCTTTCTCTTTTTCGTCTTCGGGGTCCAGTTTTCTCAATCAGTTCCTGTTCTTTCTTCTCTCTTCTCTCTGTTTCTGTATTCTCTTTCAATCTAAAAAAAAATTGTTTTCTGCGGGGCATCGAACCTTTGTCTTCCGCATGGCAGGCGTCGATACGTGTGTCAACTATTAATTCGCTACAGAGGGCACACTCCCTTTTACTTGTTGCAGAACAGAAATTTTGTTATTCAATACGTGCTCACATTGTGACATTAGTGATATAATGTATCACCTTTAAGCCAACTTTAAAACCCGACCCCATCGCCTTCCCCTAAAATCACTTCTATATTCATATTTATTTTACTTACGTTTTGTTTCTATTGTTTTGTTTTTATTGTGTTGCGATTGGACCCGAATCCTACGTTGTTGGACTGGTGAAAAGGCACAAAATAACAAAAATTTATGGCTATTTCTGTAGGGCACACGACAACAGATAATCTAGATTGCAATTAGTTTTTTAAGCGAATCTCATACTCATTTGACTTGTTTCCACAAATAGCACTCCCATTCCTTCCATAGTCCGGGAAAGGGGGGGGGGAGGGGCAAATTATATTGGAAAATACCCAGCCTGGGATTTTTATTTAGCTTGCCTCCCAAACGATCTAACTTGTGTTGATGTGAGCGAAAACTATTAATTTGTACAACCCCTCCTCCTCAGCCATCTACACGCTCATGTGGATCAGCGGCTGGGCGTCGTGCGGGCGAGTTCTCCAGTTCAAGATCTACTGTTTTGTCTTTGGCTGGCTGGGCAGTGCCCTGGTGGTGTGGTCTGCAGGAATCATCGTCATCATGACCAGCTGCAGGTGAGGCCCATTCTGCCATTGGTTTGTTTGCGTTGGACTTTAATATAGAAAGAAGAAAACACATCTGCGTTTACTTTAAGATGTGCTGCTACTGCAGATTGGCCAGTGTTCGTGGAAAGCAAAAAAAGACTAACACTGAGTTGTCAATGAGGTGTGTTAGATCTTCTACTCAAGACAAGCCCTGCTTTACTATACGAAATATAAAAGATACAATACTTCGGTCATATAAAATGCCACCAGACCATTGTGAAGGCAATAGTCGAATGCAAAATAAGGACAAAAGGACAAAGGGTGGACACAGAACAATGTGGACCGATGACATCAAGACAAGGACTGGCCTAGATCTAAGTACGGCGCTGTGTGACGCCCCTAGCAACCGAAAACAATGACGGGTCATTGCACGTCAACCACTGAGTAAGAGATCATACCTCCAGTAGTCCGGTGTTGGCCATCGTTCATTGTACATGTAGATGTATAGCGTTATATTTTTTTGGAGAGGGTATGTGACTTTATTGTTTGCATGTTTGTTTGTTTGTTTGTTTGTTTGTTTGTTTGTTTGTTTGTTTGTTTGTTGTTTTGCTTCTTGCTGAGTTTTTTTTATTGTTTGTTGTTTTTGTTTTGTTTTTTGTAGGTTTTGTGGGGGG